TGTAGGTCTTCCTGTAACTATGACCTTATTACGAAAACAAGGTCCAAAACTTCTCTAGCATTTTAAGTTTAAAAAGTTCAAATTTTCATCTTATCCAAAATTAAATTATTCGTAATGCTCTTATATTAATTGCCTAGGTCCTCTTCCTTCGGACCCAGATCCTACCTTTCCTTTTCGAAGCCACTTTGAGAAGAAGAGTATCTTTCCCAATCCGAAGAAGGGTCTACAGAAGATAATTCGCGGCGAAACCAAAGAACTGCGTCTTCAGAGAAAGGAACAGGCTGAACTCGATCGGATTCTTAAACCATCTTCTCCCTTAGCTCCTTCCACTTCGTCCCAACTATCGACCGCTTCTGCAGCGTTTGTGCCCTCCACTACTTCTTCTTGCTCTGTTAGCACAAATTCCGCCCAAGTTACTACTCCAAAATATACTTCCCCCGAGTGGCAGGAGTTTCAGGCACTGACTGCCCGCATCCAAGCCACTGTAGAGAAGACGGCCTCCAGGCTCCAGATTAGCCAGCCAAGCGTCCAGTTATCTGAGGAACAATCCAAACCGGCTACACCCGACAGTATACTGGTTGATATCAACCCTGAAGAGAATATAGCCAAACAACCACTGGTTATAGATGGATCCGGGCCAACGACTGGTCAAACCAATGAAGCACCTACATCGTTGAATGACCTTTGTGCCTTGGGAATCCACGTCGGAGGTCTGGGATACCCAGAAGAGGACAAGGCACAAATATCCAGCTATCACACTCGGCTAGAGCTGCTTGAGTCCGACAACCGAGAGGTCGTGTCTTCAGAAGAATCAGATCCTATAATTTCGGCCGAGATACCAGAAGTTGTTAAGACATTTATAGCTGGACATTCGGATGCAGCCATTCCATCAGTAAAAGCGCTACAGCCAGAATCCTTTGAAAAAGAAGTTGAAGTAATAAGTCATGCTACCACCGAACTCAGAGAAACTTCACCAATTCGATCAGAATCTCCAGGTCTTCCGGAGTCTTCTAGCATAACTGAGGAATTGCCTGAGGTAATCTTGAAATATTTAACAGGTCATCTCGAACCCCAGGATCCGTCCACAACTGCTAAGGAGCCAATTACTCAGGGTCATTCAGCTTCGAAACCGGACCTAGACGATCAATGTGAAGAGCCGGCCGGTCAACACTCTTACCCCTCTCAAGTTTGCTTATCGAGTGAAGAGGCCATCCCTTCGAAACCACTATCAGGCTATCTATTTGGTCGCAATGCTTGTACACAACCCGGTTTAGGCCCATTCACCTCCTCGTATGCGACCCCGACTCCAATCCAACCGATCGGCACCAGCATCACACCGATACCGCGACGCCGAGCGGCTGTAAAGCGTCAGGAGACCCTTTCTGGTAACAACCCTTTTAGAACCACCTCAGAGGCAAAACAAATGGAGGGAGCAAAGGAAACTATTGGCAACGAAGTAGCATTGCAAGAGGGAATAGAATCAAACGCCAGGACTACAGAGGATAGTACTTTTTGTTGTACGATTTCTGATTCAACTGAGAACTTCGAGGAAACGGAAACACATATAATTCAGGAGGCGCTGAATCCGACTGACTTTGACCCACTAAAGACCATCTATCCCGACGACTCTGCCTCCTCCGTCTCGGAGGACGAGGAGCACGCGATAAAGGTGCAAATTAAAGCAGTAATGCGAGAATGTGGAGATGGTGCCGACTACAGATTTGGAGATGATCGCGGCGATATATCTATGATCCCAGCATTGTCTGCCCCGCCGAAGCCTGTCGTCAAGGCATTTCAGGGCAGTCTTAACAGTGATGAAGGCGAATACGACAAAGAGGCGTCGGTTAACTTGGCCTGGGCGGTCCGAGAGGAGCTGCCTCCCACTTGGCTTGGTTCGGACCCAAACGCCTCACTTACTCAGACTAAGGAGGAATGCATTAACCCCGAAAAGTCGGACAACTTAATTGATAGAAATGACGAAGATACCAATTTCTTTCATGTAAACTGGAATGAAGCAACTATCGCAAACGCACCAATCAGCATTGATCGAACACCAGTGCCACCACCTCGGCCAGACTCCCCGGAATCGCAGCTGGACATCCCCTTCTATGAAGTGGCCCCAGCCACTACTTCATGGCGTATCTGGATGAGGTATCCTGATAAAAAGTCGAAACTGAAACAAGCAAATAGATATTTGAGCGACCGTACTTGGAAGCCAGTGGGCGTACTACTGGGGGAGGATCACGACCGAATGACGATCGACATCTACGATTTTATCAACTCTGAAAGTGGTGAGCTATCCAGTCAGCCGCTTCGATCAGTTCGCGTGGAGCCGTACATGCAATTGTCACGTGACAAACTTCAGCAATATGATAAGTATGGAAAGTTGCATATATTCAAAGTAAACCATGTCTCTTATAAAGAATTGGTCGGTATCAGGCCCGAAAAGTTCTCCCTCAAAAATATCCAGCACTTGGTCACTCACAAACCTAAACAGAACATTGCGGTCGATCATATTCCTATCTACACCGAGTACTTGAAATTTGGATCTATGGATCAGGCGAATCTGCGCACCCTCATGGCTGCCATAGACAACGGACTTATGAGTATCCCAAGGCACAGAGACGCCAGTTTGAGCTACAGCCGTGAAGAGGTCTGTGTGTACGTGACTGACGAGTATTTGGGTGCACTCACTTTTGACGGACACTACAGGTTTCAGAAGGCGAGGACTCGCCTCCGCTGTACTGCTTTTGTCAACGGCGGCCCTCACATAATCCTGGGAATCAATGACAAATGGCGCTATGGTCGCGAAGTGGTGCGTCGATCTGACATCATGCCAATCATGCACGACGACTGGATCAGCATCCGCAAGCCGGAATTCCACAACTGTGTTGAGATGGATGACTACGATACGGATCACATGATCAAATTCTATCCACTGGATGGCTGCCGGTTTGAGTTGCTTCGGTTCCGCGTCGCACTACGACCGAATAGTGAGCTGCCAATGCAGCTTCACACCATATACTCAATTGGTGCCAGGCGCGTCGACATGCGGTGTGAGCTCTTAGTGCCAGGCTACTTCAGTGCCAGTCATCGGTCTGGGGCAGTGCCCTGCGAAGATGTGGAGATCCGAATCCCAGTGCCGGAAGATTGGATATACCACTTTCGTGTAGAGAAGCATCACAAGTACGGCTCGGTTCACTCAGCTCTGAGAAAGCCAGGCCGAATCAAGGGTCTCGAGCGGATCACGCAGCTTGCTCAAAGCCTTCTTCCTCCAAACCTTCTGGAAGCCAGCATTGGGCTAGCCAAGTATGAACACCTTTATAAGGCGATTGTATGGCGGATCCCGAGGCTGCCGGAGAAGCACGAGGGTAAGATGTGATGTGGGTGTGTATTAGGCTTCAATAGGAAAACCAAGCTGAAAATGTTATTAAACATTGATTGTGAAGTGAAAAGTAAAAATATTTTTTAAGATAATCATGCATGAAGTGCAAGTGCCTGAAAGAAAATGGAAGAACTTCATGAGTCAGAGTGTTTTACATGTGAGTGTTGTTTGTATAATGGAGCAATTTAGCAAACATTCATCACACTTTTAGTGGTGAGAAAATGTATGTAAATTTCAAGTCATAAATGATGTTGGCACAAGTCTTGCAATTTGTAATGATGAAAAACTGGTTTGCAAAGCCATGCTGAAGAGATTAATCTTGACTTTACACTTAAGCATCGTGCTTTTTTGCCGAGCCTATCTCTTTTCACAAACACTGATGACCTTGGTGCCGGCAAAATTCGGAGGGTGAATTTACTTAAAGCTTCAAAAATAGAAATCTTGTACTATTGATAGATTACAAAATGGAGGCCAAACCTAAACTAAACAACGAAAGTGAGCAGTGGCCGAATAGATTCTTCACAAATTGCCTAGAATGAATTGCCCATTAGTCCATTATATTTATACTTAATTAATTTTTATATAAAATCCTGATAGTCAAAATATGAGAATCAGTCAGATTTCCTCTCAAAAATATGCCGATTAAGGAACGTTCTCGTATGTGGGACATGCTAATCATGGGAATACAAAGCCTACAGTTTTGCTTCATTTTGATGGGCATCTGCTGAATAAAAATGCAACTATTAAGGAATTGGTAGATAATACTACAAATATTTTTCGTTTATAAGTGGGATTTCACCTACTTAAACGAAATAAAGTGAATATCTCTTATAATATTTCGAATAGACTTCATCTTTAAACTTAATGTGTATTATAATGTGTATGATAAATATGCATTTCTAAAATATGTGCTTGTACTGACAATATACATACATGACATAGACATGTCTCACTTCCATATCCATTATTGAAAGCAAAGTTGCCTGTTTCAACGTTTGGATGAAATGGATTCCTATCTATTGTACGTATAAGATACCTTCGTTAGCTTCGAGCGCATTAACTTAGGCTACTTGGCTGAGGGTCACTATTCTTACGGCTACTACTATGCCACACTCCCACGAGTTGCTGTGGTTCATAATGCAGACGTGAATTTCGATCCAAGCCAGGCTTCTCCTGTATCATGTGTATATTTGGATGGTCGATGAGGCAAACTTATATTTTGTATAAGCCAAGAGTTTTTGGGTATCGATGAATCTCTTAAGATGACATCGTTGAAGAGACTTTCATTA